TTTCGTCGTCACGAGCCTCCCCTTCTTGCTCTCTGTTTTTCGGCCGAACGATGGCGTCGATCCTCTGATTAATCTCCTGCCTGAATTGATTTAAGCTCGTGTCAAATCGGCGCATCAACTCCTCTATGTCAACGGTTTGTCCCGCCATTGTGAATTCTTCAGCTACAAACTCGTCTTCAAGACCTGCTTCTTCCTCTGAATTTCGGCTTACAGCTTCAGGGTCGTCGGCGACGGAACCCTTCGATTGTGTCCAAGGCACGGTTCCCCCAACGAGGTTCTTCGTCCTGCCCACTGTGTATAAACCGGGCTCTGATTACCACTTGATACGCCCCTGTAGGGGTGATGTTGATTCAAGAGTCGAAGTCAACTCCAAATCGAGACGCAAACAGGGCTTCACTGAATTGAAAGGCGGTAGAGCTCTTTCGTGCAATCGTACACCTAGGACGAAGGCTCGAAGAGAATCAACACGAGGCTGGCCACGATCAAGAATGGATGGCTTGATCGATACAGCAACGAGAGGCTAGAACTCGTTCTAGCTACTCCCAAACACAAGCAACAGCTCGTGAACCAAACTTGCAGTTTGTATTCAATTGACGTCCAAAAGCTATCTATTACAATGAACCAATTCGACTTAAATTGACCTAGGACAAAGCCTAACAACGATTAAAGAAGCAAATTACACTTCTATTATGAAAAGGAATCAAAACCAATACGAAAACAAGCTTAACTCAAACAGTACACTAATACTAATCCGAGAAGGATTCGGATTCTATTGCTGGCAAGTCAGTTTCTCTTAGGCTTCAAGCGATCTTGCACCCTTTCGTTCAAAGCCTTCCATGATCCAATTTGATCAGCCGATCCCTTGTCTTTGAAGTATAAAACCTGTAGATTGATGTGGTATAAAGATCAGAACTCGATCATCACCCAGCCTCCTCGAATCAAGCTCCCAAGTTTCCTTCTCAAACACGCTCCAACACTTAGTCATTTTCGGGTAGAATTCCAGCTCCATCATAGCGATTTGAGAGGCTCCAAACTTGACTCTCCTGGCTTGATCACGAACACCCGAACTTACCTGATTGTAGAGAAACATCCCATCTCTCAAACAAACCCTTGAATCCCCGTTTTCATTGATCCAGGAGTAGCGACCAAGCTTGTCAACCGGGTTACCTGAACACGTCAAAACACTTGGGCACAATTTCCAGCATTGGTTAGAACTTGAAATGGCTTCTTGATCATACACTTCTAATGTGAATATGGACTCGATTGCGATCATATCAATTCATTTTGCTGAATCAATCATATAACTTTTGATTATATAAATTTGAATACCTTCTTTTTCCAATTCACACATTTGAATACCCAACGTTTGTGTTTAGAATTAGAAATCTATTCCCTATCTTGTCCAATTTTTTTATGGAATTTCATTTAACTTATATTCTTCTTCCCCAAGCGGCCATGCCTATTTGACAAACATATATTCAATCTTCAGTCTACGCCGGTGTTGAGACGACGAAGGATCAACCTCGGCGAATCCCAACTTGCGAGCGTTTTCCCTGTGGAATTGCAATTAGATCTTGCTGTAGACTATTTATGTACAGTTGTACACTATCGAATTTTGGTAATGGTCACATAATTTTTTTTTTAATTAAGAAACAAAGAGAGAGCAAAGAAAGAGTAAAGTAAACAAAATGCAAATGACTCAAGCTGCTGCAGAGTCAAACAACAGCTTATGTGAAACACAAGCAAACCAAACAACATTGAAGAGAGAATTAGGGTCCAAACAGCAAAGATAACATAATGTTTAACAAGAAATAAGACAACGAACGCTAGTCCCCCTGCCTAACACACGTTCAATAAGCCATATTCCTAGCTCTGCAAGTTAAGATCTGTAACAGCAACAACAGCCTGCAAGAATCTGAAATAGCATGATACTCTATTCATCTATATACCCATGGCCATGGGTCAGAAAGACACTATTCCAATCCTGCCCTCCTTTTACTCAATCTGGTAAAATCAACACTGGGTATGGACCAATTATATCTAAACTTAGTGACAAGATTTCAACATTGGCTATGAGTTCACATTTTAGTAAGAACCTAAAAGTGAATTACGAGTATGTTGTCTTTCAAATCATGAGAAAAATCACAACTTTAGTATTGGTAACGCCTAAATACCATAAGCCAGTTCCTCAATTCTTTACACTCTTATTCATACCACAGAGAGAAATGAACACATAAGCGTTAACAAATGCAAGCAACGAATAAAATTAACCGCTGAAGGCTATAAAACATGTTGTAAACACATAATATGCACGCACAGAGAGAGCATCCCTGAACTACATGGACTAGCTAAGAAGCATCTGCCAGTTTAGACTGGTTAGACCGTTCCATCAAATCAACGCTAACCTTCTGCACAGGTAAGACCAAAAAAAAAAAAAAACATTCTTCTGACCACCATTCCAGAGAAATGATTATTAAACATTAAACAGAAACCAACATCTCTATCTAAATAAGAAGTAGCAGAAGGTGTCTATTCGTCCTACCAAAAGCACTTCTAGTTCAACAAACTGAGGCAGCAGCAGCAGTGAGCAAAGAGCATAAAGACCCAGGATGGTAAGGTTGAATCATTCCAAACAATTATAAGCCATTTCTGAAGTACATAGAAGGAAGATTACAAAGTGACTAACAATGTCCAAGTCCTCTTTCTCCATTATCTCGATATCAGCAACTTGACTTTCGTTGACTTTTCGCAAGCTCTATACCCATTTCCTTCTTCCGTTGTACTTTGTAGTTTGTTTGGACTTGTTCCTTTCTCGTTTTCTAATCATCACCATTATAAAAAAAAAAACTCATCCCTTTGTGGCTGCGTAGAAATTGGGACAAATTTTTTTTTTTTTTTTTGCCTGGAAAGAAGAACCATGATGAAATAATTGAAATAGACAGTTACGGGAACATACGATCGAGAAGGAGAAAGTGTCAATTGGAAATTCTCTTTCGTCCAGGTAGCTAGGGTATTAAAGATGGAGACTAAATGCAGTCTATCCCTCCTGATGACAAAGAGGATAGGAAATTGTCGATGACGAAGACAAGGAGGATGAGATATGAAAAGAGGTAGGAGATGAATGGTCTTTGGGAAATGAAGTCTTTCCTAAAAAAGAGAATCAACAATAATTGTTGTCATTGAAGGTTTTACGGTTGTATTCTAAAAGTAAATGAAATGAACTTTTAAGCAACTATTACAAATGATTGTTGGATTATTGTTTACTAAAAAGAAATTTTGGTGTTTAATTTGTCATTAGCAAAATTAAGGTACTATGATTTTGAAGTTGGATATTTATATGATTGATTTAAGCATAATGATGATAAAAAATTATTTGGTACTAAAGAGGATAGAACTTTAAATTAATAAGTGTAGTTGTAATTTTTTTACCAATTATTAATTTAGTTATAATTAATTAAAAATATTAACAAGTGTGAACACAGTCGCACAACGTACGACCGTCATATGCTAGCATGGATCGATAACATGCCGCTTAGTATTTTTGGCGGTTTCTTTGAATACAGCGGAAGGAATCAGCTGCGGGAACCTTTTCCAGTTGATCTCAGTTAACAATTACTCCCCCCTCCCCCTATTCTTTTATTAGATGACGCTATACATTATTTTGGGTTAGGTATAAGGGAAAGCTATGTCCAAATAACATGGTTGTCATGCCGGTGACATGCCGCCCGGTTGAACCTGGTTCAACCTGTGCCGGTTATGAAACCGGCATGACACCACCGGTATGATCGACTTACGCATTCTAGTAAAATGACATCATTTTAATGAACTTAATGAATAAAAAAATTAATTTATTATTCATTTTATGAATGTAATAGCTAAAAGTTGATGATATTTGTTGGATTGTAACTAAATTGTCCAGAAATATGTTTTATATATGATTAAATACATTTGATATTAATTGTTTTCACATTTTTTTTAACCGGCATGAACCGGCACAAACTGGTTATACCACCGGTCGTACCATTCCACTTGCAAAACCAGCACAACGGTATAAACCGGTTTGACAACCTTGCCAAATAATAAAACAAAACTATGCTAACAATCCTAAAACAAAAGTTCAAATTTGATGCTTGGATGAGAGAATATGGGTCTATGTGAAAGTAGCTAGAATGAATAAGTTTTACTATTATACTTTAAAATATTGATATTTCGAAATAAAAATTGAATTCGTACTATAATATTAAAAATTAAAATTTAATTTGTATCGTAATTTTTTATAAACTAAAATATAAATATTATAAATAACTTTACCTGAATATGAGAATTAAATAATTTTCTCCGACCCACCTCTTGATGGCGCTTATTAGAACTTTTAGACCTAACTCATGTGAAGGTTCACCATTTATTAAATCCACAAACTCACAGGTCTAACAAAAAAAAAATTGTTATAAGAAAATAAGCAGAGAACAAGAATTGATCCACGGGTGAGTCAACGTTTTATATTGTTTTTCTTAATTTTATCTCATTGTATAAAGCATGTTGTTGTCCTATAGCTAACTCATTGTTTAACCATTAAAATATGGACATACATGTCACGTTCAAGCTCTTTCAACTTCTTGCAAGGGAATGCTTCACTGTGAATAAATATATTTAGTTCTATTGTATTTTGATTAAAATCAAGAGTATGTCATATTTTGAATAAGAAAAATATATATATTGTTATAATTCAGATACAATAGACTTGCTATTTTGAATAAGTGCAAAAGGCTGCATATCAAAATGGTGTTCATTAGAGTACATCATTACACCTGCCTTATAGTTAACAAAGTGCTTGCGTCCATAAAATGGTGTTCATATCCACCTAACTTAAGTACTTGCTAGCTAACCTACTAAGAACTGCTTCACGAATCAGGTAATCGTCGTTACATAGCAATGTGCACATAAGTGTCTATTGTCGACATTACACAAAAGATGACTCATTAGCATATTTCACCCTATATCTAAGGCTGACTAGGTGGTGGCTGACTTCCATGCAGGTCCACTTCAATTGGCTGAGGTCCATGAACTAACCTGCCACGAGCTCCATTAAGCTAAAATGAGTAACAAACATATTAATAACCAATGACATGCAATTGCATTAAATCCAGTTGGTTGAATTCAAATACATTTTGGAAACATATCCTAACATACTGGTCCCATGTCCTCTCATTCACATAAACGCCAACTCCAGATGTTGCAATACGCATTTCCCTTTCAATTGTTCTTCTATCAGCCACATTGAGTCTCGCGTCCTACATATATGCAAACTAAGTTCAGCCATTATGCCTCATTCACACACATTCCAGCTGTACTTTATATTCACTTACTTGTATACCATTGCCTCTATTTAGAGGACAAGTCCTTGCGTTGTGAACTCTGACATTTGGAACAATGAATTGCCCTCTTTCTTCTTACATTGTTTCTAGGTTCCTGCCCTGATACTCGTGCCCCTCTAGACTGGGTATTTCTCTCCTGCCAAGTAGCAAACTAGTTAATCACAGGACATTATCAATATAAGCAAAAGTAATGAGTCGAATCTTACCACCACAACATGGGCCACAGGGGGTGCTTTGCAAGATCTGGCATTGTGACCCTCTGCGCCAAACTTGGACCAGTGGATCAGATTACCTCTCCACCAATCCCGGTTCTTTGGGTCCTAGTCTCCTCCATCTCATGAGCAGCCCTTCTTCTTTTCTTTTACGGCCTGCCTGGCATTGATCTGCTCTTGGGAGGGTGCACATGTGTTCCCTCAGGTGCAAGCCATGCTTGCCTACCATCAAGGCAAGGTAACCCATAGTGGTATGCGAAACCATCCATGTATACATGGTAGTAGGAATGGACATAATCATCCACGTCCCTCCTTAGATGGGTGATTGCTGAAATGGCATGGCAGCATGGGATGCCACTCAGTTGCCAGTAACCACAAGAGCACGTACATTCATTGATGTCCACTATAAACCCTTCACCCCCTTCTTTACCTCACACCTTGCATTGAGGGTTTGCTTAGCTACACATAACCTAGCCTCCTCCTTTTTCCTCTCAATTCGTTTCCTAATCCTTGGAGCCAAGGTATCAGTACACTTACTAAACATTTCTGACTTAATCACCACCCTATCCATCAAGTACTGCCTAATAGCCTCCGACATGTTTACAATTATAAATCCCATAAACTTAACAATACTACCATTCCATGTCTCACATATATTGCTCTCAACCGAGTCACTCTTCGAAAAACATTATAAGAAGGCACGACAGAATCGACGAGGTTCAACAACCATAAAGTCTGTATATGGGGTAAGACCATCACCTGATCTTTCAATGGCCTCCATTTCAGCAGTTGCTCGCTTCCAATGTATTTCGTTACAAGCATAAACAGCATACCAAAAGAGCTTCCTAACACGATCACGCTTATTATTGGCCTTCCGATTGGCATACACATGCCGTGCACATTTTCGGTGCTCAGCATCAGACAGAAGGGCGTGAATGGCCTCAACTAAACCCTGCAGGGGGTAAAGTTTCACGTCAGCAGTAAATATAAAAGCTCTATTTATAAACTGAATAGAAGGAGAAATGCTATAATAGAGTTTATAATAAAGTTTCACGCATGAACCAACACAATGAGTTCGTGTTTTATCCTTCCACCACATCCCAACAAATTGGAAACATTTCATTGTTTCCATCTTTCCCAACGGCTGTAAGGATCGTCCCTTTAACCTCTCCTTTCAGAAAACATCCATCCAAACCAATCATTGGTCGGCAACCTTCTAGAAATCCCTTTATCAAACTTGAGAAACCGATGCACATACATTGAAAGAAAACTTTGTCGCCATTAGGATGCGGGTCTACTTCCAAAATGAAATGCCCTTCACGATCTCGTTTCTTCAATTCAGCCATATAGCTTCTCAGCTTCACGTACTCATCCACCAAAGAACCACTGAGCAACTTAATAACTTCCACTTTAGCCTAGAACAAGTTCTATTCTTAACATCCGTATTATGCTTTAGCTTCACCTCAACCATTATCTTATTCGAAGCCCATTCCGGATTTATCCTGTATCGTTCTAGCATGTCATATGCTATCCACTTCGCAGTGAATTGGTTCACTCTAAGCAGCCTTGAACAAGAATGTGGCAGCCCGACTTTCCTGATCATAAAGCTCTTGTCCTTCCTGAACTAACTGGCATACAACTTCCATTGACAATTGGCAGCCTTACACTTCACCTCCCTCCTATTATGATTACTCCTAATCCACCTCAGCCTTGCTCCTGCTGCGACAGAATGTCTAACAACAACATCCTTGAATTTCTCTAGACCCTCGAACTTCATCTGACACACGAATTGCAAGCTCTTATGGTCACATTTTGGATCATAGTGTGGAGCATCATCGTACATCTCCCTACTATCTTCATCAGATAAGTTTGGACGCACATGATCCGAATATTCAGACAATCTATTAGTAGAGTTATTTGAATTCTCACCGTCAGCTTGCTGATTTTGAGGTGGAGGATGGTTGGATAGAAAATGATGGGAAGCATCTATCCTTGGTTCCTCTCCCCCCTGCAGCCTCTCCATGTCCACCATCTTCATTCTCTGCTTCCTCTTCACTTTCAGTTTCCACATCTTCAAATTCGTCCAGTTGGTCTACTCTTCCCCATCAACAGTCGCCCTTGAGTGCACCTTCCTCCTCCTCCTCATCTCGCTATATGCTCGTAAGTTGTCCCTTGCTTCGTGATATACATCATTGGAAGTCAATGCATCATCAGAATCGTAAACGTGGTACACCTCCCTTGCAATCGGAGCTGCTGCCCCATCTTCTACTGACATGAGATCTTCTTCTTCTCGAACCTGGTTTGTGACATTCTCACCAATACCTTCCTCCCATGAATCTGCCATCTCTGCAGAAATTCATTTTTTATTTCATTAAATACTAATTAATCATTAACCACTAATAAACAAATCACACACATACAACCAATAAGAGATTAAACAAATTAGGGAAGTCCACATACAACCAAGACAAGCACAAGAAGTGGAATCTATTATAGTTAAATGAACATTATAGCTAGAGGTTTCAGGTGTTCACCATCTTTTTCAGGGGAAATATCGTGACAAAAAACTTCTTCTGGTCCCTCGAAGAACTTGGGATGTGACTTTCCACCTGATGACTCGATATTTGCACATATTTTCCACTTTGTTTCTTGATCGTTTAAGCTTGCAATATCGCTTCTTTGGCCTATTTTACGCTAGTTTGTGTTCCTTTGTCACATTTTAGGTCTTAGTGAGTAAAGGGAGGTATAGGCGCAAGTTTCAAGTCAATCGGAGATCAATTGGCTATTCAGGAGAAGAAACTCGGGCATGACCTGAAAAAGAATGGATTTCTACCTCATTTATGGACAAATAATCATGCAAGCTTGTCATGAAAAGAAATAGGACAAGACTACAAGCTTCTAAGATCAAACGACAACAGATTCGGAGTCCGGACGAGGGAGAAACAAAGCATTGGATATAGGGAAAATGTTCAGCGTAAGAATCACGGGTAGACTACCCTAAAAACACGGCCGTGTTTCATCTGGCACCTGTTAGTGTTTTTTATACCAACTCTCTCTTGTGAATACTGCTGAAGGGATTTAAAAACACGGGCGGGATCAAAACAAGGGCAGGACTAAACACAACCGTGTTCCCGATCGTGTTTCTGCCCCCTGCTCGGGTTTAAGTCTATTTTCTGCTATTTTTGAGAGGGTAGAGCTGGGTTTTGGATTCCAAACACCCAAGGGATGAACCAAAGAGAGAGATGACGATTTGAGGGCAATCTTGGAGTGGAATTGGAGGATTTCTTTGCCTTGGAAGCTCGAGGAACAAGTCTGGACTTGAAGACTGATCATCTGAAGATTCTTACTGCTGTCTCTCTCTTCTCTATGGAGTAACTTCCCTTCACTTAGGTTTTGAGGAACCCTACCCATGTTTTTTTGATTGGATGATTGTATGAGTACTCTTCATAATATTGAGTTCATATTCAATCTATGCATGTTTTCATTAGTCAATTCTGCTTTAGTGGAGATTATTGATTCTGCTTTGATCCTATGAGAGCGAATACCTTATTAGGTCAATAGAGCACCATAGATTGATAGTATTGGATCGATTGCTTTAGTTGAGGGTTGATACAATTCTTTGTATTGATTGAGAACCTCATTCGATAGAGGGAGTCTAGTTCAGAACGCCTTGATCGTTTGTTCTAGAGAAGGATACGTCCCTATAGGCAATTGACTCAAGAGGGCCTTGTTCCTTTAGTCGAGACTCAAGGTCTAATTAAGGATTCTCTGCATTGTGAATGAAATTGAAACAAGTTAGATATCATTACTCATTAATTTGTCTAGTGGCTAGGGGGAATCATACCTAAGTGTGTTCCCAAACTGTAATTAGATTAACTTTAACTGTAGTTTGCTAGAGTAGTTTTAGTTGTTCTATCTTAATCTGGTTTGCTAGATAATGAACTGAAGCTGAGTAATAGTAACTCTAGAGACCCGTGGATTCGATATTTATTACTTGAGCCACTGTACTGCAGTCCCTTTCATTGGTTACACTTGGCCTTTGTTAGGAGTTGTGTCATAGCGAGTCAAGTTTTTGGCGCCGTTGCCGGGGAATTTCTAGATTATTATGAAAGGCATATGTTTGTTAATTTAGCTTTTCTTTCTGTTGTTTTTCTTTTCCACCCTTGCTTTTCACTTGGGTGTTTTTGTTTTTGTTGGTGCAGATCTGAATCATGGATCCGAATGGCTTCTCCAACCAGTGGGGGTATCCACCACCACCCGAGTTGTATTACCCCGAGACTTCCTGGAGCAATCAAGGAGGCGAAGACTATGAATTCGGTTTCAGTATCAACCCCCCTATTATGAAGAACAATAAGACCCCTGGTCATTTCAAGAACAATCTCCTTATCAAGAAGAATTTCTCCCACAACCAGAAGTGCCATCGGAGCTGGAGTTAGCCATGGCGGCCTTCACGGGCCATTCTGCAAAGCCATGCTACACTCCACGACCATATCCAAACTATGAATTGAGGCTTCTCGTGGAGCAGTTTGCTTGAGACACTGAGAGATCATACTCCAAGATGGATCTTTGTACCTAGGCCTATCGTGAACAGAGGAGATCCTCTTGAGCATTAAGAAGAGCCTTGAGGATCTAGAGAAATCTTATGCAAAACCTGCTCAAGCTCACCCTTCTGCTGCTATACTAGAAGTGGAGGAGGAAGACGAAGGCTACGAAGACATTGTGGAGCACACCGAAGTTGTCAAGGAGAGCTCCCGTGATGATCATGGTAAAAAATGTCTTATCGTAGCCAACCACACCTTATCACATCCCACACTAAGCTTTGAAGAGGCGGGCATGAGTGAGGAGATGCAAGATGATCTCATCGAAGAATTTGTTTGGTGACTTGCTCTCCAATCCGTGTTGGAAGAAGAAGAGCAAACAAGGGTGCAGAAAGAAGTTGAGGATGACGAAAGTGAAGCAGAAGGAGTTCTTGATCCTTTTCCAAGGGTGATACCACATTTTGAAGAAGGGGGGGGGGGGGGTTGAGGAAGCAATTGGCGTCCAGGCTGGGGACGAAGTTGAGGTAGAAGAGGCTTGCACCGACCCTATGTTACAAGTAATATCTCCACCAAACTTCAAGGAGTTGCTTGGCAATGACCCATTTGCAGTGTCTCTTTGCCAGACCAAGGTCACATCGATATTGGTCCCTCTTAGTGGATGCGATGGTGGTCAGTCGATGCTGGTATATCTAGTTTGGGGCAATGAGACTAGAGAAGAGAAAAAGAGGTCTCGAGGATGGAAACTTCATCTGCATCAAGTGCACGAGCCTTCACCACATGTCATACCACGTGCTCGTGACTTGAGACTCCACCTCATCGACGAGAACCTCAACTTCAAAGAGGTTTTAGGGTGGACCGAAACTTAGGAGCCATCACCCAACTCACGACGTGAAAGAAGCGCTTGTTGGGAGGGAACCCAACTAGTTGGTTTGCATTTCTTTCCCTATCTATCATCAGTTGAGTCAGTTTTGTTCTTTGATTTTAGAGTCAATAACTCAACCTTTGTGGGATTTTGTGTGGTGTTTGTGTTCCGACTACTCTCCTCTCCAAGTACGTTTCCTTGCAATTTCCTGCTCAGTATGCTTTGAATTGACAGCCTTTATAGTACTATGCAACCTAGGGAGGTAGTTGTAGCACTATGGAGGATGCTGAAGTATAAGATTTTTCCTATCTGTCTCCTTGTTGTGCCGGTTGATTGTGTGAACTAGTGGCTTTAGGACCTTTGATTCATGTGATATAGATGACTTCTGTTGTGTTTGGACTTTTATATCATGAGAAGGTGCGTAGTGTACTTAATGACACGCAGTTGGTCCCCCATGGCAATAATCTGACATCTTAAACATGGGGTAAGCCCAATGTGTGTGGCACCGTTCATTGCACAAAATCGGGTTTTGGAAGAGTTTTTAGTGATACTTAGTGGGGTACTCCTACAAGGTGAAGCTAAGTTGTCTCTAGTACAAGTAAAATTTTCACCTGTTGAACGATTTACCTACTCGAGGATGTGTTTTTAAGGAACGGATAGAGCTTCCGCCCCCCTTAATTTCATTGACCCTCCGAACAAATTGAGGAAAAGGAGTTAAAAAAGTACTATGGCGAGCGTCAGATGTACATAAATTGCTCTTGCTCAACCAATAAGGATCGACCGCGCAAAAATGCAGTTGGAACCCGAACAGTAAATGAAATGAAAGAAAAAGAAAAAGAAATTTTTTTGAAAAAGGGGTTCCCACAAATGAAATGAAATGAGAAGATTACCTTATACAAGTGTCCAAGTTCGTGTGTGTTGTGTGAGTCTCTTTATCCATGAATTGTATGTCCTAGGTCTACTACTTCGCATGATTCTGGTTTGAGTCTAGTACTCGCATTGAGAGAGATAGGGGACGTCTTAGAAGACCGATTTACCTCGTAAGCTGCTAAATGATCTAGGAAGTTTGCTAGCAACGATCGAGGTTGCGTGTTGCTATAAAGGTCTGGAGAGTTTCATTGCTTTGAGTCAAGTTTGCTTGGGGACAAGCAAATGGTTAAGTGTGGGGGGATTTGATGACTCGATATTTTCACATGTTTTCCCTTTTATTACTTGATCTTTTAAGCTTGCATTATCGCTTCTTTGGCCTATTTTACGCTAGTTTGTGTTCATTTGTCACATTTTAGGTCCTAGTGAGTAAAGGGAGGTATAGGAGCAAGTTTCAAGTAAATCAAAGATCAATTGGCGATTCGGGAGAAGAAACTCGGACATGACCTGAAGAAGAAGGGATTTCTACCTCATTTATGGACAAAGAATCATGCAACATTGTCATGAAAAGAAAGAGGACGAGACCACGATCATCTAGGATCAAACGACAACTGATTCAGAGTCCGGACGAGGGAGAAACGAAGCATTGAATATAGGGAACAGGTTCGGCGGAAGAAACACGTGCATACTACTCTAAAAACACGACCGTGTTTCATCTGGCACCTGCCAGTGTTTTTTATGACGACCCTCTCTTGTGAAGACTGTTGAAGG